GCAGTTATCCTTGAGGTTAAAAACCTGTTTCTTCCCCTAGCAGGCAATTTCAATTTTTAACCCCCCTCCCCTTTTTTTTGGTTTTGGTTATAGGACATGTGAACTTGCCAGAGAAAGACAGAGAGAGTGAGAGAGTGAGAAATCACCCCCAGGGTATGGCCACACCGCAGTTCCTGCTTTTCCATTCTCCTCTTGGGTTTTTGGGCATGCATGCGCGTGCGACTGGTGTGATTTTCAAGCCGCTGGGTCTGGGACTTGAGCTGTGGGTAGCTAGGTGGGAGTTCAGTGCCTTCACCACCACACCCCCTCCTGGCCCTTTTACCTCTATCTTTATCAAAAGTGGCTACAGAGTAACCTCAGGTCTCTCCCACTTCCCTCTGCCCGGTATTTTCCTTTCCTTTCTCTGTGTATCCTAATCACACCTCTTGCTTATATGAAACTAGTATTTCATTCTCTGTCACCAGGTTAAGTAACTTCAGAACTACTTGTGAGGTTGTTTCCATCTTCAGAAAAAAGCGTGTGAGGAATTGTTTTATTCCTGCACAGTGGTGTTCGTGTGTATGTGTGCCCACAGGGAGGGGAGCGCTTGGTTACTCTCTCAAGATTCGATTACTGGGACCAGCAGTTGGCGTAATGGCTTTGTCGCTGGACTCTAATGTAGTCGACCACAGTTCAAGTGCCGGACCCAGTGGCTTAAACTCACGCTGGGTGTGTGTGCGTACGTGCCCAAGATCCAGAGAGGAGAATGGAAGAGAAGGGATTGCGGTATGGCCATCCCCCTTGGGGGGTGATTTCTTGCTTTCTGACTCTGTCTTTCTGGCAAGCGCATGTGCCCTATAGCAAAAACCTCACTAAAAAAAGAAAAGATTCGAGTACTTGTCTTGCTATTCGTTTCATGTGGCCAACAGCCCACGCGCGTGGATGACATTTGAGAAGTGGTTTCCGCCATGGCAAAGGCGAGTCCTCCGTTAGGGTCATTATCAGCTGAGAGGTGGCATTTACCTGCTAGTGACAGAAACCTGAAAACAGTGACATAAACAAACAAGCTTAACTTTCTACATTTAAAAAACCTCTAGATGTCTTGCTATTCGTTTCATGTGGCCAACAGCCCACGCGCGTGGATGACATTTGAGAAGTGGTTTCCGCCATGGCAAAGGCGAGTCCTCCGTTAGGGTCATTATCAGCTGAGAGGTGGCATTTACCTGCTAGTGACAGAAACCTGAAAACAGTGACATAAACAAACAAGCTTAACTTTCTACATTTAAAAAACCTCTAGAGGGCCAACAGGTGGTGTGGCAGTTAAGGCACTGGAACTCACGTGTCTGACTCTGTGGTTTGAATCCTGGACCCGGCGGCTTGAAAAACACTCTGGGCACATGTGCATGCATGCCCAAAATCCCGAGAGGAGATTGGACAAGGGACTTCAGCATGCTCCCTGGGGTGATTTCTCATTTTCCCTCTCTGCCTCCGTCTGTCTCCCTCTGGTCAGTACATGTGCCCTATGGCAAAATCTAAAAAAATAAAAAATAAAATGAAACAAATCTTGGGGCTGGCAGGTGGCATGGTGGTTAAGGGTGCTGGACTCCCACATGGCTGACTGTGGTTTGAGTCCTGGACCTGGTGACTTGCTTTTTCACTTTCCTTCTCTCTCTCTCTTGCTCTTACTCTGTCCCTCTCTGATCAAATTAAAATAAGTAAATAAATAAGGCTAAATAAAATAATCCTTTAAAAAATAAATCTAGAGGTGAGAAGTGGGTCTAGCATTGTAGCACCACACTGTGGCAAGAACGTGCTGTAAGTAACCTTATTTCCTAGTTTCCGTATTCTTTATTTTTTAAATAATTACTTTATTTAACTTTATTTATGTATTTATT